AAGTAGTTAAACAACTCCTTGGTGGCAGGGCCCCTTGTGTGGAGGAGATTCATCCTGTGTACCCTAAGGCTGTGAATGTCATAGGGCCAGTTTGATTGACATGCCTCTGTAATATTGCGTGGAGATCTACTGTAGGGTTGTGCCTCTAAATTGGTAGACTGGGGTGTTGATTCCCATCTTAAAGAAGGCTTGCTGGAAGCTGTGCTATGGGAAAGTCACACTGTTCAGCATCCCTATGTCTATGTCAGGGTACTGACAAGGAAAGTCCATTAATTGAACCTCTGATTCAGGTGGAACAATGCAGTTTTCTTCCTTGTCATAGTTATCGGAGAGAAACAGTTGGAGTGATGACTGTTAAGTTGCCGCCGCATCTAAGAGTCTAACTATGTCAGATGTCTCAAGGCTGCATTGTAGGTGGCTGACAGATGGTGTCGTAAGCCACCATCTCTGTTCAATGATGGTCATTCACAGTGGACACAGATGGCCACAGAAACAGAAATAAGAATTACTGAACTAACACAACCTGAAGCAGAGTCAAATCTGGATGAAGGTTTCAGGTACGCTCTCCAGTGCAATCATTTCTCCATCCAATCTCATCCATGACCCTGAAACACTGGGTAAAAATGCCTCTAAGGCTGGAGGGAAATAGTATTATAATGCACACATGGAAAGAAAGCTCTTAAAACACGTGGTTGTCCCAACTAGGCCTTCATCAAATAAATGCAGATAGATAGAAAAGGTCAGACACCAACTTGGGAGAGACAGAATGGCAAACAGAAGAACATAGTCATTCAAGTCATTTGTTAGAGAAACCCCAGAGAATTTTCTCCAAGCACGACATCACAGTGCTCTTCAGATCCAGCCTCACTCTGAGACAATTTGTGGTTCATCCCAAGGACAAAAACTCGCAAACACAAGTTAAGCTGTGCAGCGGTGTGAAACCAAACAGCTGCTCCACAAACATGTGACACAACACGGAAGAGCCACCCAGACAAGACAAGACTCGACACCTGAATCATGCCAATGTTCACATTTTGGAATTTAGGACAGATGGTTCGAGTGAAGAGTAAAAGAAACCATGTGAATGACCGTCTTTAAACACAGAGGTGGGGGCTTATGATACTGTAAGCTGCCTTCAATGCAGTTTGAGGTCCTTTCCCATTTTGCATCAGGTAACTTCAATAGGCCACATAATAGGGTGAGGTATGGTCTCACAGTGGTTTCATCCGAAACCCCTGGTGGTGGTAATAACATGTTGATGATTCACAATGATTAATAGGGGGTCAATGACCTTCTTAATGGACAACCCCACTAGGGTTTAAATACCCAGGACTCTCCAGCTTTTGATTTTAGACCTTAAGAAGCCTCTTGGATGAGAGGTGAAACAGTCCAGTTGCCTCCTTTAAACTCCTTTTAATGCACAGTGACTCTTGGCGTTCTCTCCCCATATTCCCAGTTGAAAAAGAGGTGCAATTTCAATAGTATGTCTCAGAAATTCTGTCGTAATGTGTAAAAAAAAATATTTATTTACTTTTTACTGAAAATTTACCCTGAAATTTCTATACTAGATAGAAATAAAACAGAATTTTTCCTGTTATTTAATTCTTTATCTCTTATTTCATTTGTTTAGTATAGTTTGAATGCCATGGTCCTGGGGTTTGACCATGTGTTTGGAGTTTGTTTGGGTTTGTGTTTAGCATTGTTTGGCCTCGTTCACTCTTTTAGGGATCTTATTCTGATGTTCAGTTTTGCGAGGCCTTGGTGCTAGTTCTTAGTTCGGAGCTTTGTTCCATTCTCTGTCCTGTTTGTCTTGGTCTTGCATCTCTGTGTCCTCCCCAGCAGTGAGTCAGTTATGTCTGTTTATGAATGTCAAGTTTGCTCTCTGTCTCTCACCCTCTCTCTGTCCATCGCGCTCTTTCTTGCCTGTGTCTCAGTGTTAGTGATTTCTGCCGTGGCGCCAGTGTCCGGCAGCCTCGCCTCTGTCAGTGCGCCCCAGGGCGGCTGTGGCTACAATGTAGCTGCCATCACCAGTGTGTGAATGTGTGTGTGAATGGGTGTGTAAAGCACTTTGGGGTCCTTAGGGACTAGTAAAGCGCTATACAAATACAGACCATTTCCCATTTCCTGTTTTGCAGTGATAGTAACTTGTCTTGTGTGTGCCATGTTCAGTTTTGCTTCCCCTGTCTTGTTAGTTAGATTATGTCCAGCCATGTTCCCCAGGTGTTTCTTCTCTGCCCCAGTTCCCTCTTCTGTATAAATTGTCTGTGTCTCCCTCTGTCCGGTGTCTTGATCTCCCTCATCCCTCTGGCTGTCTGTTCTGTCAGTATAGTACCAATTGCCTTCCTAATAGCAAAGGAAGAGGTCTTCATCAGTAGAAACAGCTGTAAACTTATGAAAACACAGCTAAAAGTTAAACGTCTATGCCCTCTAAAGCTTTCCAGTGGGGCAGAGTCTTTGCCAGGCTGATTCTGGCCCCCGGGCCTTATATTTAAGACCCCTGACTTAAACCATATACTTCAGGCCTTGTATCTATTGTTATTTACTTAGTACTGACTAAAAAACAACTGAAAATCAGGTTCAGTTTGAAACCAATAACTGAAAATGAATGCACAGTACCAAAAACATGTTGATGCATGTGAGCCTTCATGCCTGATAGATGGCTATGACCTTCAAACGTAGTGCAGGCCTTCTGTTTACAGCAAACAAATAAATAAGAAAAGTCTTTGTAATAAAACAGTGATATCCCAATCATGAGGGACCAGGGTTTAGACACTGTAGAACATCAAAAATAAAGTTAAACTGGAACTGAAAACAAACAGTCTACATTTGTTTTTAGTGTGAGGCTGTCATCATGAAAACATACACAATACTGTAATTAATTAATTAATGTTATCCTATTCTTTTTTACCCAACCATTAATATCTGAATTGATTCATTTCTCTGCTTTTTGGCAGGCAAACTGTGGAGGAGACGGACGGTGATCCAAGCTCCGCAGGGTGATGGGAGGCCATGTCCATCCCAAATGGAGCAGTGGAAGCCCTGCCTGGTGAAGCCCTGCTACAGGTGGAGATACAGCACCTGGTCTGAGTGCAAATCTGAGGTCAATTAGCCTTCCTCTTCTTCTTCAACATATTTACCAGAATAGTGAAACACTGTATTGAATTTTCACTAGTCACTAATTTCACTAGCGTGAAAAATATTATACAAAACCATTAAAGTCATATCAAACCATCCTGACATACTCACCTAGATGAGGAGGGATAGTCCAAAATGAAGGTGTCTCAAGATGCTGTCATGACACCTGGTGAGACTTTCCAGAGGACTGACTTTGACCATTTCACTATTTAGTAAACCCTAAAAGACACGCTGTGACTCTTTTTC